TCAATATGTGACGTAACTCGAACGTTGGGATCGACTTCAGTTGGATTTTCTGACGGAATTCTAGATGGAGAAGTGGATACTACCATTGGGGCGGCTTCCGGTTCCGGCGACGGTGACGGTGAACTTCGCTTCAAAGAATGTTCAGTCGAATGAGGAACCTCTACAGTTGTCTGAAAAAGTATGGGAATGTTAATGGAGTCGGCGACTGACAGCGAAACCAATGAATTGTATCAGAAATAAGAGTGTGAACGGTTACCTTTGATTGAATTTTCCTAATACTATGGTAGCTTTAAAACCCTGTTTGAGTTAGATCGCTTGTCCGAATGAAAACTTAACTGGTCCCGTTGCACTGAAGTAACGATCAGCCCAAACCAATACTTACTACAAAAGACACTATTTTTGCCGTTTACAGCAGGCGATTTCAAAGAATTGAGTACAGTAATCATCAACCACAGCACTTAAAGAATGTGCACTAAAAGGCCGGTAAATGAATCCAATAACACTGACACCACGAAATATGAAATCAATTAATTAGTGGACTCCTGGGATAACCTCCAAACTGCTTTCAGTCACATAAATCAGTTTGCCCAGCTCAGTGGGTTAAAGATCAACACGTCGAAAACCGAGACATTCTCGACCGAAATTTCCGCCACGACACAAATCCACACGACTAACGGGAAGTCTGTTTTGAAGTATTTTAGACCTATAAGCAGACCAAACGGCCAGGCTAAGGACGAAATCCAACTTCGTGTAAACTGACATAGAAGAGCTTTCCCGTAGCTTCTCAAACCGTTACGAAAAGGATGCGAAATAATCTTGAACACTAAGCTTCGAGTTTATAAGGCTCCCAGCCGCCCCATGGCTTCTGAGAGTACCAAATACAATGAAGTTCGAGGTATTTGACTATTGGTGCTTACGCCGCATCTCGAAAGTAAATTGGAGAGATCAGATTTCCAGTGCTGAGATTCGATGGCGCTGCTCGAACATCAACAAGCTTTCGAAAATGCTACAACGCCGGTGCCCTCGGTGGTTTGGCCATGTGCTCCGACGGCCCGACACTTATCTTTCAGCGGTAGTCCCTGCATCGTGACGTGGATGGCGTGGCCGACTCGGCAGTCAACTGAAGACCTGGAACAGTACCATCCAGGCGGACTTGGAATTACTGGGCCTCCAATTCGTACTTGGGTCTTACAATGTCAACCTGCCGCTGATTGTCTCTCATGGGCTGTCATTAGGCACATCCAAGAAACCGACTTATCTTCCATGTAGGAATTAGTCACTCAAAAGTAAAAGCACGAAAGCAGAAACATTCCTCTCTGAAAACAACGCTTAAGTCCGGTCGGAACCATTAGTAATCAGTGATATATATCTATCGTAAGCAAATTCCATTATAAATATCCTTCGTAGCTGCCTTAAAACTGGTTACTTGACACACCCATTGAAAATTCAGTTGATTTTTAGTGGATTAACTTTATCTATTGTTGTGCACCGAAAATGCTAGTTTCAGTTCAGTTTCAGCAGCAGCAGCTAGAGCTGCTGTGCTATGTTTACATGTGGCGTATTCTACGTGAAGAAGCGCATTTTTCCACGCGATCACACTGGGTNCTGGGTACCGGTACCGTTCGACTTACAATTTAGGACTCCGTTATCAACCAACCCTAGCACCCATGAAACGCATCACTTATCTGGTGGTGAATGAGCATATGGGAACAAATGAAATAGAAAATATTCTTCCACTTTACCATCACTTTTGGTAATTGCATAGAAGTCAGAAGGACGCAACACTGACCTGTGTTTCAGGTTCCGACGCTGTTGGTTCAGCGGCAATTACCAAGGAGTCCGACTCTTCTGAAGCTTGTGGCAGCTCTGTGTCAGAATCAACATCAGCTTCGGAGTACGGGGATGCGCTCAATTCCTTTTTAGTTTCCTCTGAGACTGTTTCAGATTCAGGTGGTGCTATGCCTGGATGAATGAAAGAATGCGATCAGTGATTATAACACAATTTCGTATGACATAAACCATACNAAACCATACCACGATTACCGTTCGTTGCATATATTCATCATAAAACAGTGCAGATGAACCAACTGTGACAACTCCCCTCATCGTAATATATGTATTATGGTTCAAACTCAATTGAGCTAAACAAACGGGATATTGAACGTTAGCATGATAACATGAAATTTGTTCATTTGCTATAACAGAGAAACATCGGTGTATCACGGTGTAATTCCCTCGGATCGAGAAAACTAGCCAAATAAGAATTCAGATGACCAGATTTTCCATTGTTTTTAAAACAATGGAAATTAACAAGGTGAAGTCAACTAGAAAGAAAACGTACATGTTTTTTCTGAGCTCAAGTCCAATGGTAGAGGAACCATACATGGAAGCGGGAATGGAAGCAGGTATGGAACTGGACGAGCGTAGAGACAAATTGGGACAGGCACATAGATTGGTACTGGAATTGGGATAGGTATCACTTGGGGTGTGGCGGGCGGTTCGGCAGGCTCAGATTCGTCTGCGATGAATAAAACGATAAATGCAAAACATCGCATGAAAACAATATGAACAATGTTTAGGGTTTAGCGAATCGGTCTTAATCAATGACAATAAAAGCTACTGAAGGACGCCACACTTTTTTCTTTTCTTTTCTTACAAAGTGAATAACGAAGGACGCTACACGCGAGAATTGCTGATTTCATAGATCAGTGAGAAACCCGATCACACGATAAGCGGATCAATTCTGAGGAAATCATTCATTTGTTTTTGCATGATCTGTGTATAACGCAAATGGATTCTCATTCTGGAAAATCGATATAGGAGATACCGGTTGATCACGACTAAGAGATTAAATGACATGTCATCAGTGCACGGGACCGATGGCGTTTTAATTTCAGCAGAACAACTATAAATTCTCTCATTTATCACTGACAGCCTGGAACTGATTTCATTTACTAACGTTAAAATGTGTACCGATTGGGAGGAGTAAAAGGGCAATGAAGTGCACAAATTTTGTTCACTTTCGCACACTTACTCGTCATACTAACCGAACATTGGGAAGTGATCAATGGTTACGTGTCCATGATAAACAGTGGAATTTACTAACAGTTGTAAAGACCTGAAATCGAGACAGCTTTCTCATCCGTAATCAAACGTCGCATTTCGAACGACTGTCGAACCGGAGCAAGAAGTCTATAAGTGAACGCACTCACTTAGATGACCATGAGGAAGCGGCAACACACTACCGCTACGGAATATAGTATACACGCAGTAATTCGGACGTTTTAGACACCACCAAGCAAGAATGAAACAGCTGTGGAATCTATCCAACACGCTTCACTTTAGTGGCGCACAACGGTTTCGTACGTGAGAAGAACAACAGATTTTACAACCGGCTTTGATATACTGATTGTTATGATGTGACACGAAAATATACCCATAGTCGCATCTTTCAGCAAACGCTTTTCTCCCATACACGATCACATGTACTACTTTTACGTACATAAACGGACCCTAAAAATTGAAATATTTGGAAAAGTACCTGTTTGTGAGTCATTATCCACACAGAAAATATGGTTAACTGTTGATGTCTCCGCATCAAGTGTTTTGCGCCTGGAAGCTACTGCTTCACCCGTGTCAGTTGGCATTTCTTCATCTTCAGCATCGTCGCCGTGGAATGTACTCCCATCTTTCAACTTCACTTCTTTACGTTGTTGCGGGCGAGATGTATGAAATTCATCCAAGTCTTCAGTCTGCGTGGTCATGCTAGTGTCCGGCTCAACGCCCTCATACTGCACAGTGCTGGCCTGTGTTTTTCGGGAAGCTGACAAGGGACGACAGAGGACAGCTTTATTCCGCATTGCGACAGGTGCAGCAGGTTGAAGAATGACTTGTTGTTCAATCCCCAATTGACGGACCATGTCGATGGGTACAACGGGAAATTGTCCCTGAAAAATAGATCCGAAAATGAAGATGAGTAACTTGAGTACACTAAAGAAATAACTACAATAATCCATTGAATTCCAATTCAAAAGATAAGTTGAAGAACAGCAATCCTGAAGAACACTAAAACGGGGGTGCAACAAGGCATCAACTTGGTAGCGCTAATTCGGATAGCGTAAACCTAGATGAACATGCTACGACACATTCGATTTAGAGGACAATGGTGGATCACGTTATGAAAGCACTGAACTGAGAATGCAATACCGATGATTTTTGTGTGTAGAGGTAGAAGTACAACCAACCAACCAAGTACAACTCCGCCCGAAGTGCTAAAGAGATCTCAGTCGGTTTCAGTTTATACACTCATTAACAAGACACCATCGTACGGTGGTATTGGGTTCTAGACAGCTTGTTGGCCGATGTGATAGTGTGCACACATTTAATGCAGTTACTTGGCAAGGGATTTCAATCACCGTAAATAAATTAAAGTTTGCGGAAGATTCCCGTAATCCCAAAAGACAAAAGTGTAGCGAACGAGTTTGTCTTTGTAACTTCGTCTTCGGTGATTAACAGGTAAATATAGGAAGACGAAATAAAGTTCCACTACTGACATCAATCGACGGTAGCAAACAGTCGAGCGAAAAGAATAAATTTCATGAAGCAAACAGAACAGTAAAAATGAATTGAGATAGCGAAATCAGAAGTGGCTAATGCAGATTTACTCACTCGCAATGGACGCCGACCCCTTGGACGACCCCGACCGCCAGTTCCCGCGATTGCCGCTGCTAACCGGTAATTGGGATCACGGTCAGCACCAAGGCCACTGACAGTTGCTGAAACCAGACCTGCGCCGGTAGGAGTAACTATGGTGCCAGTGGCACCACTAGGTACTGCATTGGTGCCGAAAGCAGATGCTGAGGAGGGAGTATACCGTGTACCCAAGGACAACAAACCAGAGGCTGTTGGTGCTAAAGCAGCGGACTGAGACAAGCCGAGAGACGTTGGCTGCATATGCCCGGAGCCCGAAGATAGTGGTTTTCTGTGATGAAAAACCATGAATTTAGAAGCGTTATGAGACAAATGACTTAGCCATCAACAAGGTTGTTTGAGGTTAGTGAAATCGAAGTTTAAATTTATACTTTTGTGCAACTATCTCCTCTTGGACGATGAGTTGGAATAAGGATGTCACTGACAAATGATGACTAGGCACAGCGATCCGTAGCCGGACCTGCACGAACGGACTGCGGGTTAATGCTTCAAGCCATAGACGGATGGCAGATTCATGTTATATGTCCATCTTCTAGGCTCCCAAGTGACAGCACCATTCCGTGCGCCAAGATATATATATATATATATATATATATATATATATATATACGCGGACAAGCATAGTGGCAACGAAACAACAATAATATTAATAAAGGGTGAGATTGGAATACAGCAAATAAAGCTAGAAAGAACCAAAAGAACAGCAGTTTTTTGTTTCCCGTACAGTTGTTAGAAGGCTGTCAATAGTTGCGTGGACTGAGCAGAAGTGAGCACATTTGAAGGACTCCACTTGCTTAATTGGATTCCCACTAATGTACACCGGGTGACACTGAGGACGTCTTCCGTACCAAACTTCCAAGGAACTCCATGACTATGGTCATGTCTGGAGCCGGCTTAACCTTTCCAAGGACCCAGTCGCAGTAAAGTAAGATATACACCGGGTGCATTTAGGGATCTAGAGGAGGGTATTGATTCACATTTTGACGTCATTTCGAAGATCGCCGATGAAGGGAAAGTTCTCGCAACGCAGAAGGGTCCTCGCCAAGGAAGATCATGCCGAACACCAATTCAAAATTTACAATATATGTCTGTTTGTTTGAAATGAAACAAAAGATCCCCGATTCGTGCCCGCAATGAACTACAGCAATGAGTGGTGGCCGGCGGTTTAATCATGTGTTCGAACCTCGCCAAAGTGGCATATTTTTACCATTCACTGATTGGTGAGCCTTGCATGGCCATCGACCTCTGGCGAATGCTACGAGTAAATTCACGGAATAACGAATTGATCACAAAAAACAGTCCTTAAATTATAATATGATGACATCGACTTGCTTGGTGACACAAACCACATTGCGAGGCACAAGCAGACCCAATCCATCCACACGTATTATCGTTTGACAACGAGCCCTAGTCTGGATCGAAACATCACAATAAATACTATCACTCAGTGCTCGCCTTCTTTTCAAATATATATATATATATATATGAACAATGCTGGATTTTTTGTTGACGATGACGACGTGGCGTGACGTGGTTTGATGGCTTGTGCACCTCCCTGACCCAACAAGATACACAGGATGGCTTTTGTCAAGCCAGGAGATCTTATCATGCCCCGAAGGTCAATGGGTAGAGGTTAGACGAACCCCAGCTTCCCGGTCCTGCAGGATGGGGGTTCGACTCGAGTTAGTATCTCAGTCGGTAAAAAGTGATGGAGGAGTAATCGATCCAAGAAAATGGGTCTCTGCTCTACTTTACCTGCTACCTTGCAGTTAGGTTCTTGTCAGAAGTAAAGGCTTTGGACGAGAACCCTTCCGCTTAGTGGCTGGAAACCCTGGCAGAACCCGTCCATCAAACCCCAATGCATACAAAAATAATAAACGATTCCACAGTACATCGGTCGTCAAGCAGGATAATCAAGACCGTGCTGCACATTGCATCGAGCGGGTTGGTTAGTGATAAGTGGGTTACTATTTAGATATCCCAACCTTTGTTTAATACTGCCTTTCGTAACCAGCCCCCTCTACTAATCCCATTCTTCCGACCTGCAACTGTCCGTCAAGCAAATTGGATGTCGCTTGCATCGGGCTGTTGCCAAATAATACGGTAATTAATGCATCACGAAATGGATTGCAGATACTGAAGTCTCATCAATCACTGAATGTGGGAACCTTCAACGTAAGGACTCCGATGCAGGTGGGTAAACAAGCTTGTATGGCGCGTACGATGAAAGCCTTAGGGATGGATATGTGCTGTCATTGACGGGAATCCGGTATCCTACTGCAAGCCACTTGAGCGCGCCAGATTTTTCCTCAAGGTACGTTCTTCGCACATCCGGCGAGGACGAAGCCCACGCAGGCCAGCGTGGGTTAGGTATTGTACTCAGTAACAGGGCTGAGTCCTCCCTCCTCGATTGAATCCCTGTCAATATTCGTTGATATGCAGTTCGTACCCAGGGTTCCACCAGCGTCCGGGAGGGAAACCACAAAAGGTCATTGTTCATCATATCGGCAAATGCAACAACCAATTGCGGTTCTGATATACAAAACGCCCCTTTCTGCGATGAACTCACCGATCCCGTTCGGATAAGTCGAAGCTCCGACATAGTTGTACTTGCAGGTGACTTCAACGCGCGCGTTGGAAAACTGAGCGCATCAGAAGCTTACCTAGGTGGTAGTTTTTCTCTGCTCCGCAAACGAACAGATTACGGTGATCGACTTCTTCAGTTCTGCGCAGAGCATCATCTAGTCCTATCCATTACCAACTTCCGACAGCTCTCGACGGTCGGCAACGTAGTCCGACTGTTACGCTAACTCAAATCGATCATATAGCAGTGAGCTACCGTTGGTGTGGCTCCGTGCAAAATTGTAGGTCCTATTGGACCGCCTGCATTGAGTCTGACAACGAATTAGTTTTGATGCAATTCACTGTTCGACAGACTAGTTGACGACAAAACCACCAAACTCGTATAGCTCAGCAATGACAATCTGTTCCGACAGTTCGTGTACACTTTGATTCAGCGCTAGTGAGTGGGCTCAGCGCGCCTCAACCTGATGATGTAGATGAGCAATGGGATCACATTAAGCGAGCAATACATTCCATAGCGAATGTTGCTTGTCGGTTTGAGCCTCAAGCCTGTCGGAGGCATTGGATATCTCAGGAGTCAGTAGTCCTGATGGATCAAAAATGACAAATCTCGACCTGCCGGGATCAAAACAGTGTTAGGTGGCGTCTGCAATGTCAGCTTGCGAAGAGCCTCAAGAAAGACCGTGAGAACCTATGGGCAACATTAGCTAGTTGAATGGAAGTAGCAGCTGCATCACGGACTGATGCACACTATGGGGGGTAGGTTAACCAGTGATCATAGGGGACAGGCTATTCACAATAGGGATGAACGACTTGATCGCTGGGCAGAAGACTTCAGCGAACAGTTTATCTGGCCTGCCGCCAACCAGGTTGCCTCATCCGCACCTGAAGCTCCTTGGGCAGTGTCGTGCGATCCTCCAACGGAAGCAAAGTTTGGCCTTGCATTCAAGCTCTGAAGCGGGGAAAGTCAGCAGGACCGGATGAGCTCCCTCCCACTCTTTTCGAGATGGGGGGGGGTGATAACCTCGTAAGCTGTATTACTACCTTATTGTAACGACCTTGACCGTTTGCCACTCCGTTTGAATGAATCGTGCTCATGTCTCACTAGATCTTTTAGTTCCTGTCTGCACTTTCCTCTCTTTCAAATTGTCAATCAACCTCCTCTCCACGAAGAACATCCTCTCTGGCGACGGTTCCAGCCCACACCTAAGCACGGCTCACTTGCGGTTGTCTGGTGTATCCGTTCACGGAGGACATCCAACCGCACACACGATCCAGGCACCTCACATACTGCGCACCAATTGGACGCAAGAGCACATTCCTTCATCTTGGAGTGAATCACTGATCGTTTCCATTTCCAAGAAAGAATCTCGCAACGATTGCGAAAACCACCGCGGGATCAGTTTGATCCCAATCGTCACCAAAGTGCTAGCCTCAGTCATACTTCGATGTTTGGCACCTTTAGGAGACTAACATCCGTGAACAGCAAGCAGGATTCCGGCCTGACCGTGGATGTGTTGATCACATTTTTACGTTGCGTCAGGTCCTTGATCTACCTCACACCCACCGTCGACAAACGATGGCAGTGTTCCTTGACCTGAAAGAATCCTTCGACTCAGTTGTTGAAGTTCTGATGGGCTCATTTCTTGAAAAAGGAATGCCCCAAAAGCAAGTCAACTTGTTGAGGCCACTGTACTCACATTCCTCTGATAGTGTAAGGGTCTATGATGCACTAAGTAGGCCATTCGTCACAAGAAGCGGCGTTCGTCAAGGTGCTGTCCCTATTCGTTCCTGTTCAATTTCGTCGAGGATGAAATATTGGCGGACGCACTTAGTGGCCCCCAAAACATAGATATTGAATGGGCCAAAAGCTGTGCGATTTAGAGTACTCCAATGACGTCGTCTATCTGTTCGAATGTCTGGAGGACGTGCAAAGAGCACTTGAACTGCGGTTACCACATTCGGTATGTGCTTTACACCTTCAAGGTGCAAGTGATGTTGCAGGGTCGGGTTTCACCTACTCCCGCTATGAAACTAAATGGCCAAGGATCAGTTAAAGCGGATTACTTTTCCTACTAAGGTAGCTGCCAGACTAAGGACGGTAGCGCAGCAAAGGAGATAACCGCCCGCATTTCCAAGGCTCGAGAAGTTTCACCTTTGGCGTAGACGCGAAGTTTCACTGAATTTGAAAGGATGCGTATATTATGCTAGCGTAAGTTCAGTCCTGTCTTGTGAATGTGAGACCTTGACCTCAACTAGAGGTCTTCGGTCATTGTTGTTTCCGTAGTTTAGTCCACGTGGGATGGGGCGAACGAGTTAGCAATCTCGAAGTAGGCTATCGTGTGTTTGGATGTCCACCAGGTATGAACCTACTAGCACATCGCATTCAGATTAGTAAGCTTCGCCGGCAAACGCACGTAATATGTGCCTACCTACCGTTCACCACATTGCGCTTTATTCGCTTTAACCGTTGCGGGCTGGACGGAACCACATGAAGGTCAGCAGATGACGTGGAGGCGAGGCACGAATAAATGCACAGAGCCATTAGGTAGAGTGGGTGTCACGTGCCTTCCAGGTTGAGGTCCGAAAGACTCCACAACCGGTTGGTTGGGGACATTGAGAGATATGGCAGTGAACCGACAGCAGTGGCGTTCTTGTTG